GAGGGCCCAACTTCGGCCAGATGGTACAAACTGTGTAACTTGAATGGAGAGCGATCCCTACTGGTTCACCCTTCCAACTGCAAGCCCAACACACCAGAAAGCGGATTGCAGGGGCATGCAGATGAGTCAGTTTAGAAAACCACCCTCCCCTCGGCCCTCCCCCACCCCAGAGGCCCTGGGTCAAATTCATCAGCAAACGGAGCGAGTTTCTGGGTGGACACGAACAGAACCACCTCATTTAGAGATCAACAGTTATGATTTCTGTGACCAAGGATTACAATTAAAAAGCTTCTAGTTACATAAATGTGACCCCAAATGACAATGCCATCCTTAATACTGAATCATGCATAAATTTGATGTTTTCTTTTGCTGCTAAAAAAAAAATAGTCTTGAACCTCCATAAGTATCATGGCAGATTTGAAAATGTCTAGAAAATATTTTAGTCTACGGAATATGTCAATGAGTTTATTCTAATCATCGTCCCATATTCAGAAGGTGAGCAATTTCCTGGATCTGGACAGGAATTTTAGCAAATAAGTGCAGACTTGAGCATTTTATCAATGAGGAGCAACTTTTCAAAGAATAAGAAAGGAATCCAAGAGTCGTTGATCGTAACTTGAAATGGGCTGTTTTAAAGGGCTTCAGGAGAATAAAGATGCTTGCTGATGACAAAGCCTAGCCAAGGAAAAGGCTTCAAAGAGACCAATATTCGGACTTCTGTCGATGTGCACAGGCATGGATTCTGCAGAGACAGATGAATGTGTGAAGTCCCTACGTGCTCCAGCATTTGCTGCTGAGCTGGGGACATCTTAGGTTCTAAGCCTGATCCTGGCATTCTATGGTTTTCAACAAAGAACACCGACGAGAAAATATCCAAGTTTTATTCCCCCAAATCTCATGCCACAACCATGCCTCACAGATGCCTCTAACAGTCCCTGACAGATGTGGGTTTGTGAGAGGTAGCCTCCTCCTTTCCAAAAATGGCTCCTTATATTACCCCCAGACACCGCAGGAAGGCAAAGCAAAATGAAAGATGAGGTGAGAGCGGATAAAATGCAAAGCCAGCCAATCAATATTTACCCTTAGAAGAGGGTGGGTTTGCGTGCGTGTGTGTGTGTGTGTGTGTGTGTGTGTGTGAGAGAGAGAGAGAGAGAGAGAGAGAGAGAGAGGGCTTGAGTGCCCCGGGTGAGCGAGTGTTAGCCAAGCAGGGAGAGAACTGGAGAGTCGCCTCGTGAGAGGAGCTGTTGATTGTTTTCTGGTCGAGAGAAGAGGTGATGATCGGCTGGGATAAAGTGAGCGCCGGGCCGGGGCAGGAGCCGGCAGCTGTATGCTAATGCTCACAGAAACCAAGCCTCCGCGTCCCCCATTAAAGCAGGCGGCCAGGAGGCCACACATCACTGAACAAATAGGCTCTCTCTAGACAAATAAAATAACACACGTTGGCCTGCAGGAAGGGGGGAGAGCCAGAGGGGGCGAAGAGTTGGGGGAGAGTGAGGAAGGGGGGAGAGAGACGGGAAGAGAGTAGGAAAGAGGAGAAGGAGACAGGGTGAGAGGGGAGGGGGAGAGAGGATGGACTGGAAGAGAGAGAGACCGGGAGAGAGGAAAGGGAAGAGAGAGGGGAGGGGAGAGGAGGAGAAGAAAGCGAGGTGGGGGGCGGGGAGAGACCTAGGAGAGAGACGGGGAGAAAGAAGGAAAGGGACAGTCTGAGGGAGAGAGACCGCAAGGGAGTCAGAGAGAGACAAGGGGAGTGAAAGACGGGAAGCGAGAGAAGGAAGGAGGGAGAGCCGGGACGGTGTAGGGAGGGCGGGGGGGGGGGGAGAAAGAGAAGGGGAGAGACGGGGAAGGAGGTAAGGAGAGACCGGGAGAGACAGGGATGGCAAACAGGAGGGAGGAGAGGAGAGGGAAGGAGGCCAGGACCGGGAGTAAAAGAAGACGAGAGGGAGGGCAGGAGGAGAGAGGGTGGGCGCGGGGAAGAACACCCCCAAACCCAAAGGGTAGCAACACGAAAGGGGGGACCGAGGCCAAGGCGAAAAGGGCGCCCCTTCTGGCCCCCAGGAGCCTGGCTGCCTCTTCGTCCACCCTGGGGCGGGCGGGCGGGTGGAGGAGCGGGTCGCCGGGGCCTTTCTGTTCAGCTTTGCTGGGTTTTTGTCGGTCCCTTTTCCGAGACAGAGGCGCGCGGGTGGAAGCAGGCCCCGCGTGCGCCCCACGTTCAGTGCCATCCCGGTCGGGGCATAATTCTCTGGTGATGACTTTCCCACATTTTCTGGCGTCGCCTCTGCCAACACCACCCTCCAGTCGCGGCCCGGGCCCTTCCTGCCCTCTCCCCTCCCCAGCACGACGGTCCCACCCGAGGCAAAAACAAACAGCCCCGAGGGCACTTCAAGGAGCGTGCGGTGGCCCCGACGGCACGCTCGGGAGGATAAAAGAGGCGGCAGCCACCCCGCCGGCCCCCGGCCGGATAATGGGCGCCGAGCAGATTGCCGGGGGCACTTGAAACTCGAGGGGAGGGAAACACTTGAGCGCCGGCCCTCCCCGCGCCCGGCGGCCGGCGCAGCCGCGCGGACTCGCCCTTGTTCGCTCTTTCATGCGCTCGCCTTTTGTGTGGAATTATTTAAACGGGAGATCCATGGCAGCTTTATGCTAATGTGCCGAACAAAGGCAACGGCCCGCGGGCGGGGGGCCCGGAAGGTGCCTGGAGGCCGGACCGGGCCAGGCGGAGCGGCGGCGGGCGCGCTGCGCGTGGCTCTCGCGTGCCCCGGGGACCGCCGCAGCCACCCCTCATTCCTGCAAACACAAAGCCTCTCCGGGCCGGGCCGGCGCGCTGGGCGCACGGGGGCGCGGGGCCGGACGGCGGCCCGGCGGCGGTAAAGCGCAGCTCAGCCGGGCCGTGGCTCGTGGGCAGGGAGGGCCAGGGGCGGGGCGTCGGTGAATCCGGGACAGGGGTCCACAGCAGCGGGGGCGGGACGCTGACAACTCCCTCTCGCCCCTCCCGGGTGTCGCTAAACGCTCAGCGATTGCGGACCCTCTGGTCTTCGCCTCCCAGGGGCTGCCTGGACTCATCGACACCCCCGGGGCACCTGCTAGGCCGAAATTCTCCGCTTTAGCGCTTATTTCTAAGCTTCGCGCTTTCTAGAAACTCCTTGGAGATAGACTCTTGAACCCGGGGTCCCAGCGAACCCCGACGCGCTCCCCGACGGCAGCCTGGGACACCAGGACAGAGCAGAGTGCCTGCGGCCTCCAGCTCGGCAGCCGTCAAAAGAAGAACCCACAGCCGGGTCTGCAAGGACCCGAAGAGGAGAGGCCGCCTTACTTTTCCAAAGCGCCGGCCAGGACCTCGCAGGGAGGGGGGGAGTAGCCTGGGGGCTGGGAAGGACACTTCGGGGCCCAGCCTTGGAGCCCTCTGCGAGCTGACTCCGGTGAAGCTCCCCTGGAGGGAGGCAGATCGGCGCTCGGCTTCGCCCAGCCCAACTGCACGCCGCCCCTGCTCCGAATCGCAATGCTCAGAGGCCCGCCGCCGGGGCGCGGCGTGGTGGCGCTTTGCTCCTCCCGGAGGAAGACAAATATCTCGACTCGATCCCCCCATCCCCGCGGGCGCGGAGATTCTGAAAAATAAAACCACGCAGAAGACGACGGAAACCCACGACCGGGTGCAAGGGTGCCCTTACTGGGAGGTTGCTGGTGTGTGCGTGCGTGCGCAGCCCAATTCTTCCCCAGCCCTAGGTTATGAAATTAGTTTCTAATACTTGTAGCTTTCAAGTTTCCATTTATTTTGACCATACCGGTCTGAAAGCAGATTTCATTTTCGCTGGCAAGACTAGAAACCACAAAGAAAAAGAAACGGATCCATTGAAAATCAGTATCTCAATAGTGTTCAATAGATTCTCTTGGCTTAATTCAGAGCCCTGTTTGAATTCGCTGCTTTCAAGGAGGGGTTTTGTTTTTTGCCCTCCCCTCCCCCCCAACACCCCTCTTTACAATTATGGGTGTTGTTATTTTTAAAGGATTTACAAGGTGACTACCTCTCCCTGTTATCTGTTGAATGAAAAGAGTGTTACACAGGCAGGACCAAATACTCGGCAGTCAGTTGGGGATGGCGGGCCGAGCCCCCGCCCCATTATTCCACAATCCAGATGGAATTCGTGATTAGAAAATAAAATTGGCCGAAGCTGTCTCGGAATCCCATTTCCACTTCTAATTTCATCAGCAGTATTAATCAGCGCTCAGAGGAGTAAGGAAATAACAGTTACTTTTAGATTGAAACGTATCCATAAATTCTAGATAAACTAATTTTAGGATTTCTAACTTTTCTCAGGACTAGCATTCCTCCCAGTTAGCATTTTCAAAAAGAGGCAGAAAGCTTTCAAACTACATTTCATTCTATGTATTCTTCTCTTTTCAGTCTGAGTTAAGAAAATATCATAAACATAAAATCACCAATATTTTCCCCCTTGATTGACCAACTTGATTAACCCCTTGGTTAACTAATCCTGATAACCGTCCCCATTACAACTTATTACTCATATGGTCTGCATTTTTTAAATGTTTAATTTCCACGCCAGGGTATTTTCAGAGGGAAAATCCAAAACAGTTTAATACTTTCAGTGGAATTGAGCTTAAGCAAAACTCAGCAAAATCTATTTGGGTGCACAGAGCTTTGCAGAAAAATGTCCGTTTCCTTCTTTTTCAATAAAGGGACATTTTCCTCACAACATATCACATTTTTTGAGGCTTTGCTATTTGCTCCCCAGTGATGGGCCACGACACAGTCTTGGGGTCTGCTCTCACCCCCCAAAGATGCTGCCTTTTGTGTTTCCTTGGGGCCAGGCTGGGAAGCGGATGGAAGCAAACGGCCGGGTCTGGGTCCAATTGGGGCGGGGGTGAGGGGTTGCGGTGGGAGGTGGAGAGTGGATCTTCGCTGTTGTCTTTTCCTGGTGGCACGGAGGAGGCAGCTTGTCCTTTCCGAGGCCACAGCCTGCCTCCGAGGACAGATTGCCCCCCCCCCCCCCCCCGCCCCGGCCGGCAGCACGCGTCTCTTTTGCGTCCAGATTGGCCGCGACCGGCGCTCAATAGCGGGAGGTTAATTTCCTTCACAAAGGTGAAGGGGGCACGGCTCCGGGGGGCCCCGCGCCCAGACAGGCGGCCCCTTTATTCGCAGCGCCTTGATTGGAGCCCTTGATTTAGCATCTGATGTCAACCAGCAGACAAAATGCCCGCTCGGAATGAAAATGCATGAGGCCGAGCAGGGAGAGCGGAAACCAACTTCACTGGGGCGCACGGGCTTTGGCCGCGCGCGTTTCGTGCTTTGGCCAACTCCATCTGAATCAACCCAGCGCTGGGCGATGCGGAGGCTCCGAGCCGCCTGGACCAGGCCCTTCCAAAGATGCCAATCCCTGAGCCACGGGGAAATTAAAAAAAAAATGTTCAGAAATTCAAGTTCCTTTTGGAACCCAGCCCAGCATGCCCCCTCCCGCCTCCAGCGCCGCATCTGCTGGCGATTGAAGAAGTGCGGGGCCAACTGTTTCTCAAACTCCAGAGAAACCGTCCCGAGGCCCGCGGACACGCCAAGGCTGCGGACAAACATCGCCCTCGGCAGCAGTTAGACGGCCAGAGCCGATCCTCTACCAAACTTGAACTCCAGGGTCTCATCTTCGCTTGGATCCTGGGTCCCGCGGCCCACTCATCCCAGGCACGGGCGGGGGCTCTTGCCCGCCCAGACTTTGCAGCTATTTTCGAGTCTTAATTATTTCCCAAATACCGCGAGGAGTTCCTGCGCCTCTCCCGCCCCAGCGGCCGCACTCAGATCTCCCCCTCTCTTGCTGCTGCCCACCGCCGCCCCTGCCCAAGCAGCGCGCACAACTTCCCCCTCCGCTCCGGCTCGCGGCTCGAACCCTCCTGACATTTTGGGGCCATTCTTCTCCTTTGTTGCTATTTTGCTCTCGACCCGCGGGTAATCCCCGCGCGGGAGGGGGGGTGTGCATTGTCGTGCTGATGGACGGGCCCATTTGGCTGCTCCGCGCCCCCCGGAGGAGAGACACAAAGCCCAGGCACGTGCGCTTCCCCATAGAGGAGCAGCAGACCGTGAAGGGAGGCGGGGCCGGGCGTGTGCCTGGGCCGGGCGGGGCGGTGGCGCCGGGCGGGGCGGCGGAGGGGCGCGCGCGGGGGCCCCGCGCCCTCAGGTACATCTGCCGCACCTACCGGGCGACCCCCGAGTCCCGGCCCCCTTTTTGCCGCCCCGCCGCCCTCCCACCCTACTAGGCGGAGGACCTGCGGGCGCGCTGATTGGCTCTGGGGGAAGCGGGAGGCGAGAACAATGGCCCCCTCCCCCTGTTAAAAGGGAGCGGCTCCTGCGCCCGGGGACAGGGACGCGCGAGCAGGGCGCAGGGGCCGGCTGAGCCGCCGCCACGCGAGTTCCGCAGTCGCTGCTCACGGGCCATGGGCCGGGGGCACTGAGGGCCGCCGGGGCCGAGCGCGGAGGTGGGACCGAGCCAGTGCCTTGCCCTCGCTCCGCGCCAACATGCCCCGCGGCTTCCTGGTGAAGCGCAGCAAGAAGTCCACGCCCGTGTCCTACCGGGTCCGCAGCGGCGAGGACGGCGACCGCGCGCTACTGCTCTCGCCGGGCTGCGGGGGCGCCCGCGCCTCGCCCCCGGCGCCGAGCCCCGGGCCCGGACCGCTGCCGCCGCCACCGCCACCGCCGCCGCCCACCGAGCGTGCCCATGCGGCGCTCGCAGCCGCGCTGGCCTGCGCGCCGGGCCCGCCGCCACCCCCGCCGGGCCCGCGGGCCGCGCACTTCGGCAACCCCGAGGCTGCGCACCCCGCCCCGCTCTACAGCCCCACGCGGCCCGTGAGTCGCGAGCACGAGAAGCACAAGTACTTCGAGCGCAGCTTCAACCTCGGCTCACCGGTCTCGGCAGAGTCCTTCCCCACGCCCGCCGCTCTGCTCGGAGGTGGCGGCGCCGGTGGCGGTGCCAGCGGCGCGGGCGGCAGCGGCAGCGGCACCTGCGGCGGCGACCCACTGCTCTTCGCGCCCGCCGAGCTCAAGATGGGCACGGCGTTCTCAGCGGGCGCCGAGGCAGCCCGCGGCCCAGGGCCGGGCCCCCCGCTGCCTCCGGCCGCTGCCCTGCGGCCCCCGGGCAAGCGGCCCGCGCCCCCCGCCGCCGCTGCTGCTGCCGAGCCGCCCGCCAAGGTAGCCAAGGCCCCGAGCGCCAAGAAGCCCAAAGCCATCCGCAAGCTGCACTTCGAAGACGAGGTGACCACGTCGCCTGTGCTGGGGCTCAAGATCAAGGAGGGCCCGGTGGAGGCTCCGCGGGGCCGTGCGGGGGGCGCGGCGCGGCCGTTGGGCGAGTTCATCTGCCAGCTCTGCAAGGAGGAGTACGCCGACCCGTTCGCGCTAGCGCAGCACAAGTGCTCGCGCATCGTGCGCGTGGAGTACCGCTGCCCCGAGTGCGCCAAGGTCTTCAGCTGCCCGGCCAACCTGGCCTCGCACCGCCGCTGGCACAAACCGCGGCCTGCGCCCGCCGCCACCCGCGCGTCGGAGCCCGAAACCGCTGCCAGGGCTGAGGCGCGGGAGGCGACAGGCGGCGGCAGCGACCGCGACACGCCGAGCCCCGGCGGCGTGTCCGAGTCGGGCTCTGAGGACGGGCTCTACGAGTGCCACCACTGCGCCAAGAAGTTCCGCCGCCAGGCCTATCTGCGCAAGCACCTGCTGGCGCACCACCAGGCGCTGCAGGCCAAGGGCGCGCCGCCTGCGTCTCCGGCCGAGGACCTACTGGCCTTGTACCCCGGGCCCGACGAGAAGGCGCCCCAGGAGGCGGCCGGCGACGGCGAGGCTGCCGGCGTGCTGGGCCTGAGTGCGTCCGCCGAATGCCACCTGTGCCCAGTGTGCGGGGAGACCTTCCCCAGCAAGGGCGCCCAGGAGCGCCACCTGCGCCTGCTGCACGCCGCCCAGGTGTTCCCCTGCAAGTACTGCCCGGCCACCTTCTACAGCTCGCCTGGCCTCACGCGGCACATCAACAAGTGCCACCCGTCCGAGAACAGACAGGTGATCCTCCTGCAGGTGCCCGTGCGTCCGGCCTGCTAGAGCGCGCCCTCCACCCCGGTCCCCCGAACTGTGCCTTCGCTTGGAGACCCACGAAAAGAGCGCGCCCCGAACCCGCGTCCGCGCCGGGGGCGCCCACCCCCGGTGAAAGTGTTGTCTCCGCTTCTCTCGGTGTGGCGTGACGGTAACCCCGATCCTCTCGTTGTGACTCCTTTTGGACACCCCCCCCCCCACCCCGCCCTTTGCGTTACGTCCCCTTCCCCTCTTGGCGCAACAGGAGCCAATCTCTTTCTGTACAAGGGAGAAGAGCTGTACGCGTTTGTCTCGTGGTTGGAAGCCTCCCCTTGGCGAGGAGAGCTGTTTTTCTTGCTAGTATTCGCTGTGTTCATGGTCTAGAAGCGCGGTTTGCTCTCGCCTACCAATCTCTGCTCTCTGTGTCTGTAGCGTACGGGTTGTTTTGGGTGAATCTTGAGGAAGAAATGCCTTTATATTTCACAGGCTGTAAATTGAACTTCCCACACGATTAGCTTTATTATGGCTTGTGAACTGCTGGAGTCTGGCTTTACCTTTTTGTATGTGAACAAATCAAATTGCTTAAAAAAGAGTTTTCTTTAGCATAGCCACAAATGCCTTGAACTGTTGTCTGTTTGGGATTGTTTTTCTGGGGGGGGGGAGGGATTTTCAGAAGATGCTGTAGAAACTGCCTCAATATTTCATGTAAGCCTTTTTGGTTTGATCATCTTTGTTGAGGTAGGGCTATATGAGTTCCTTCTAAATGTATATGTTGATTTATGAGTAATTGTTATTTATTCTTTATTTATTTATATTAATTATGAAGATTATGATATTATTTGATTGCAGATCTTTTTTTTTTTTTGGTGAGCTTTTTTCCCCTGCCACTCTTGACATTTCACTGTGCATTTTAGAAGAGAGCCTTTTTCTAAAGGGATCTGCTAAAAGTTTTAACTTTTATACCTATCTGAGCGAATTACAGACAACCTACCATTTTATTCTGCTTGGAGGGCCCTGAGGCCCTGTACAACTGACAGCTCTTACTTTTAAATGCAATCTCTTTTCTACATACATTATTTTCTTAATTGTTAGCTATTTATAGAAAGCTTCAATAGAACTGTTTCAACTGTATAACTATTTACTATTCAAATAAAATATTTTCAAAGTCAAAGTAAGGTGGATTTATTTCTGCATCACGTGGTTTCAGCAAGGATTTAAAATAGAGCTTCCCATGATTTCTCAAATGTCCCTTTATTTTTTTACTAAGGAAAAAACCCGGCCACCATCACTAGACCGTGTGTTTTTAGAGCTCAGCCCGCACTGCTAGGGTTCTGCACTTCTGACGGTTCGAGGGTGTAGCCTCAAAATGCTGCCTGGAGCTGAAGGCCTGTTCAAGGTCCTCAGGAATGTACCGGAAGGTGGGGTTAGAAAGAAAGCTGTGCTGATGTTTCTCGGAGAAATCTAGAGAAGTCTCCACAAGAATCCATCCTTTCAACCAAGATGTGGGGACACTGCTTTAATTTAGCGGCGACTTCGTTCCCTGATGATCTGGGGCTCTGTAACAGTAATTCCGGAAGTAAATTAAGCAGGTAGTTTTTGATCCTTAAGTATCAACTGGAGGAAAGAAATGATTTTATGGTCAGACTTCCAAAGTAAGGGAAGCAAACCAATTCACACTTGGATGCAACTGAAATTAAGCAACTGGCTTTGGGGTAGGGTCTCAGAAATGATTTTCCAGTCAGGTGAGCAATCCATTTTGGGGGAAGAAATGGAACACCATCTGTTTGGGGTATTAAATGTAACAACAGGTAATTACAATGTTTTCCGTTATGTGTCACTCAGCTCTTAGAAGAACAATTCTGATGCTCACCAGTTAGTATTTTGAATCCTTTTCCTCCGTCTTTGAAACAGTTGATTATGGAGCTGTGTTAAACACCATAATTGCACATTCCCTTCCTTTTTTGATCTGTTTTTGCTACTTTTTTCCTGAAGCCCACTATATTTCTAATTTTTGCCCAGCAAAGAGATGTTGGAATCTGCGCAGTAAGGGGCTGCGTCTGGAAAGGCAATGGCTGGAATGAGGGTGGGAGGGGCAGTCCACCAGAAACTTGCAAGGAAAAATTGACGAAAGAGATCATTTTCAGATTTGGAAGCTAAGCTTCCTGTGGGAGAGGGTAAAAGGCTCAGCTGTCAGGAACACATATTTCTCCCTCTGTGAGGGTCTTGAAACAGACTCAGTAATAAAGAAGGAGAAGCCACTACAGGTAAGTTGCCTCTGGGACAAATTGCGTGTCGCCTTTTATCGCCAATGACCACACATTTACCAGTTTGGGAAATAGAGGAAGACGAAAGTTCAGTGCCAGCACAACGTGAAAGCACAGGGACAAAGCAGCGTCCATAACGTCCTGAAAACTTTGAATCAAACAAGGAAAAACTCAAATGTGTGGGCTAATGGCTGCTCCCTCTGAGCAACAACAATATGAGTGTTTTTAAAATGTTCTCTCTGAGTCACACCACACATTAATGGATCCCTCATCCTGAAGCCAGTGTATGCGCTGTGCCCAGGTAAAGTTTCCCTAAAAACCTGATGGTTGGCCACACACAACGAGTCGAGGCCTGTCTGCAGACATTGTACCTTGTTAGCTGTTTGGCTTTGCTTTTCTCTCCATAGTCATAAAACATAAATGCTGAGATCCACCTTCACGAGGGTGAATAAAATTTGGTTGTTTGCAAATGTGCTCGTATGTCCCCTGTGGAAATTTATTTCGATTGACCAAATATATCTTTTCTAAAATAGAAACCAACATTTCATTTATGTGAAGTAGTAAGTGAAATTGTATAGTAAATGGAGTATATTGAAGTTAACTAAACAGTGTAGAAAAAATAGAAAAATTTGATCAATTTATTTCAAAGTCGTGCCCTATGAGTTAGGACATTGCACAGGAGGCAATGCAGATTCTTTCTTTCTCTTTTCTTTTTTCTTTTTTTGTTAACCTTCCCTGGATAATAAGTTCAGAAGGGCTCCTATTATAGGATACCAAGTGGAAACGGATTCACTTCTTTATAAACATGCAAAGGATGCCGAGGACATCCCGGGCGTCCGAGGTCGCTCCAGGCTTGGGACCATCAGCGGACACCGGCCCAGACTCCCAGCCTCCCCGCGGGGAGCGACTCGTGGTAGGAGGGGTGAGGGGTCAGGAAACTAACAAGATCAAGGAGGGCGGAGCTAAAAGAGGGAACAAATAAAGGAAAGGATTTAATTTTTGCCAGCGGTCTCCACACTTCTCTACTTCCACACAAATGTGGTGTAATGAAAGCCAAAGGCTGCTCAGCACTCTGGTTCCGAAGGGAGCCCGCGGCCGAAACAGCTGCCAGACACGCCGGGGTAGCCCTTCCTTCAGAGCTGATAATGTCCTCTGGAGGCGCGTTTCCCTGGGGACCCGGAGAAGACCGGGCTCTTACAGCCCTCAGAGCGGGAACGTCGTAGTGAAACGGGTTAAGCTGGGTCAGCTACTCTGAGGCCAGCGCTGCAGAGGCGCACGTGCCTCTGCGGAGTCCCGGCCGCCGCGTGCTCCGCCTCCACATGACCCCGGACCGGCCGTGGCTGGGTTCAGGCTGGAGGCAGCCGCTCCAAGGTCACCTATGAGCACAGTCAGCAAGGCCGGAGGCTCGACAGCAGGCCATGATGACCCCGCAGAGCACAGCAGAAGCCTGGAGGCTGGCTGGACTCTGGCTGCGCAAAGGCACGTATGGGTATGATGAGGTGCCCCGCAGAGGCCAGGGTGCAGAAGGTTGGGCCTGGCAACGCTTGTCACCGGGGGATGTGGCCCGGCGTGTCTGCGCCCAGATAGTGCTGAGGAGGATGGGATGCCCCGGTTCTCGTTTGCCTCCATTTGCTCCACTGCAGACTTCCCGGAGCAGCGGCCTCCTCCCACCAGCTACCCCTCCATCCCCTTGGACCTAATCCCACAGCCATCCACAAAGCCTTCAAACATAACAAAGCAGAAGGACCGCTTAGCAATCCTAGTGAAAAGGTAACAGCATAGGAATTCTTCACCCACCAAATGGCTTGCAAAGGGTCTAGTAACAGGCTCGGCCAAGCCCCTCAGCTTCCTACAGGCCTCTGTCTCCTCGTCTGCAAACCAGAGAATATGGGGTTCTGTGAGACACAGTGAGACGTTCAGGAGGATTTCCGACTGAGATGAAAGGCAGTAAGGACCCCAAAGGGAGTGGAGTTCTTCATACAAGCAGGAGAAAACCTCTTTCTGGGTGGGGGTGGTCTACGGCATTTTAGATTAGTTATAAATCCACTGGCCTGTGGCAGGCAGGCTTTGAGAAAAACTTGCTATGTTTTTGCAGAAGGAACATTTTGGCCTTGTAGAGAAATGTTCTGGCCAATAGGCCCTAGTGTGTGGAGTCAGACACATGTCATATATCCATATAGTGTATGTGTCACTAGTTAGCTTGTTACAGGGCCAGGTTAAGTTGGAGTCTCTTGGTGGCAAGTCTGGAGAAACCTGTAATGTTTGCTAATTAAAGGTACAAGCTGTGGGATTTAGAGAAAATAAAGGAGGAAACTGAATTGTAGAGAGAGACCCACAAGGCGGGGAAACACACCTGTGTGAGAGAACCCTCTGAAGAGCAATCTGCAAGGATCTTGATTCTGTTTGATTGCCAAGGTAGTGCCAAAGCACTGAGCACAATATGGTGGTCTAAAGACATTTAGGATTCGAATCCTAAATTAGGGAAACATCTGATTAATGTTTTGGCAATATAACCTGAAAGTAATAGCTTGAAAATTCCACTGGCTGAGAGAGCAATAAAGTGCATCTTTAAGTTACAGCTCATCTTATATATTGAAGAAACATTGTTTCTTTATCACCAACCTGCAGTATTAAGTGACCCATACTCACAGAGAAAGTCTGGAATACGTGTTACTCCTGGGCTGTAAGTGGCAACCGTCTTTAACAGGTACATGAGCAACACAGAGAAAAGTTCAGAAATGAGACCTAGTCACGGGGCCCACAAGGTTGTTCCCACCAAGTGGCCCTTGGAGAAAAAACTATTCCTACGCACCCAGAGAGGGAAGACCATCCTCTGTAGGCCTGCTCTACTCCTGGGGCCTCCTGCCATCCCCCAGCACCTCGGTTGGCCAAGGCTCCCAAGTGAAGCCAGGTACACTGAGTCTATAGGAAGAAGGGGCGAGAGAAGACGTCACCTACCTGCCCAAGGATTTCCATGAATAAGGAAATCTTGTTTTCATCGGGAGAACTAGGGAACTGCCTCCTCTGAGACTGCTTGGGAAACATAAATAATTTTCAACTGATTCATCAACATCTCATTGTCTTGTGCAAACAACCAGCTACAGATTTTAGTGTCATCAAGGCGATTTCCCAACCAAGAGGATTTTCTGAAGACAAATGAATCCTGTTTCTTTGGACATTTCTGATGAGGAGCTGCAGGGGGAAATTACTATAGGCCAGATTGGGTCTCGAAAGCAACAGAGCTCAATGAGAGGTGTCACCAGCAAGGAACCTGTGATGGACCTTTGTAGGGAAGGGAATTGACTTCTTATGGCCGGGTGAGAGAAACAACTTGGCTTACAAATTTACCGTCCATAACGATTTTTTTTAATCACCATTAATGCCTGTGCTTCTTAGAATCATAGAACAAATTTGAGCATATGATTTGAAGTCAGTTAACATATTTTCACTAATCCAAACACACACCCCTTCATCTCTTAAGCCCCAACTCTCATCAGTTGTCTACCACATACTTTTATTGTGGGCTGATTCTGTTGCATCTGGAAAGTGGAATGTTCGGGACATGCATGCTTCCTCTGGCAGTATATATGGTGAGCAGATGGGTTGTGGGGTAAACATGTCCATGTTTGTCTTGTTTGAAGATTTCTATACTGTGTGGTCTTCCTGGTGGTATTTCCACAAAAGCATCCATACTTATGTTTTTTCTTTAGCTCATCATGTAAGCCTGTGCTACTGGGACAAACCATGCTTAGAACATTTGCCACACTCAAATGAAACCTAAAGAATGTTTACTGCCAGTCAGAGCACATTCAAAGGCATGATTATTGACAGCCAGTGTTTCAAGCATGTCATGTTCATGCTGTGCAGTGTCACCAACATCTATAGGAAGCTTGGCCACACAGTTTGC